ATTAAGTATTGGATTACTGAATTAGGTTACAAGTTAGGTTAAAAAATTCGCTAAACACGTCTAAAGCTCTGAAGAATTTTTAAAAATTGAGTCAACAAAGAATACTAGAATATCATCGACGAGAAAAGGGGTATTATATATACATAAAAAACAATTCTACAGATGAAATTAAACAGTTCATATAAAACTCTCTAAACATATCTATTATCCAATGATAAATATCTTAAACTCTATTGTATATACAAATTTTGAGGCTAAACTAAAAAAATTTGCACAATAGTTCTTAGTACCCTGAATAATTACCTAAATATCCAATGTAGAAAAAAAAAATTGTTTCTTCTTGTTCCAAATATAATTGTTTGTTGGTCTCGTCTTTTTACAGAATTTAATAGCTAGAATTTCTGAGGTTTCAGGATGAATACGTGAACAAACTTTGCGTTTTTCGTTTCCCTTCGGCGTACAGGCACGCGAGAGAAGCCCTAGTCAAAATTTCGCCGACGCTACTCGCCAAGGGTGTAAGGTTGAAGGGTATTCATCGCAAGAGGGGGAGTCCGAATGATAAGAAAAAGACAGACATAAAACCCAAGGAAAGAGGCCTGTTCCCCTCAATACTTTCTCTTCTCTCCTCCCTATCTTCTTGCCCCTCGTCTCGTAGCCGTGGAAGAACCTCGGCAAGACCGAGACGGTTCAGATCTATCTAGGGTGGAGAAAATTCAATTTAAAATGGCGGCTCAGATATAATGGCAGCCTCCGGTACAGCGCCACCCAACCATCTTCCCCCCCCCCCCCCCAACTCATCTCAACTTTGCCACCGATGTTCCCTACCTATTTCTCTTTCATCCGAAAGCACCCTGTTCGCGTGTCGTCATTTTCCAAGACACAGAATGCCATAACTAGCGCGGGAGCTTTTAAAGAATTCCTTCAACCGAAATATTAACATAACCAAAATTCATTGTTTCCCAATGTCTTTCTTTATTTTCGAACCTTTAATTCCCGATGCTACTTTATTAGAAACAATGACTAGCAGAGATAATAGACGAGGGAAGCTTTTGGGGCGATAGTTGTAGAGAATTATCGACTTGCTGTTCTTGGGGAATTTATATTTATTTAGTAACCTCGTACAAAGATCAGGTTTACTATTTATAGCTAAATTATGAGTTTCAATGTTAATTTTATTTTGTTTTGTGTGTGTTTATATAGTATATATTGTTTATCTATGACCACTGCTCTCTGCCTCAACTGTAAAAATATAATTATATTTTCGATCGTACATTAATGGGTGTATATAAGTGTCAATATCAACTCTATTTTGTCCTATGCATATTTCTATATTATATACTAAATATTGTTCATCTATAAGAACAAAGAACGTTAAGAACAAAAAATATACAGGGTGTTCGGCCACTCCTGGGAAAAATTATAATGGGAGGTTCTAGAGGCCAAAATAAGACGGAAATCAACGATACTAATTTGTTGATTGAGGCTTCATTGAAAAGTTATAGAAACATTTCCGACCACACAGTATATTTTGGGTAAAGAATTTTTTTCTCGAAAGTACGTAGGATTTCGGGGGTATGTGTATTCACCAAAAGTTAGTATAATTGACCCCCAGAACCGAAAATAATTTTTTTAGAAAGATTCGAAATTGTTTTTTTCGCCGAAAAATTTAGGCATGTCGATTTTTCCTAAAAATTCGTTTTTGATTTTTAGTAACTTTGTTTGACGCCCTATAGAAAAGTTGTTTAATACTTTTTTGTAGGTACCCATGAGCTCTATTTCAGAAAAAAGTTTCATTGAAATATATTCACTATTATAGGAGTTATGGCTGTTTGAAAATTGGACCATTTTTATGGGGTTTTTCTCATTTTGCGAGGTCAAGGATCAACTTTTTCAATATTTTTGCAATTTCTACAGATTCTTCATTAAAATACGCGTCGTTTGCATTTTGAAACATTAAAATCGTCTAATCCGTTCAGGAGTTATGACGTTTTAAACATATGCATGAAATTTCAGTGAAACATATCAATGTATGGTCAGATATTATATTTTCGGTAATGAATTTTTTTCTCGAAAGCGCGTAGGATTTCGGGGATATGTCTATTCACCAAAAATGATTGTGGTTGCTTCCTGCAACCAAGAATAATTTTTTACAATGATTTGAAATTTTTTAATTTCACTAATATATTTTAGCACCTACTCGAATTTTTTCCTCGAAACAGCGTAAGAATTCGAGGGTATGTCTAATGACCAAAAATGATTGTGATCGACCCTTGCAACCAAAAATAATTTTTAATCAATCAATTAATATTCTTGATTTTCGTTTTATTTTGGCCTCTTGTATCTCCCATTAAAATTGTTTCCAAGGGTGGCTACTATTCGAAACTATATAATTTTTGTATTTTGAATAAACAGAATCCGAAGAATTAAGGACCCCAGGACTATGTAGAATTAAATTTGAAGTATCAACAATATTATTCGACTAAAAAGATCTGGAATTTCTTTTAGGATCGTCGAACCCCTTAAACGCGATGGCAAAACTGCAACTCGATGAAAGAATTCGATCAGGAATCAATTTAAGCAAATCGACTGCTCCCTCTGCCCCGAAACCATCGGTCACCGGGATTGCCCTTTTGCAACTCGCAGATGAAACGAATGCGTTCGAATGTCTCCGGCTTGTTGGCGAAGTCGCTTCCTGCCCCGGACACTTTGTGCATGAATTACAGCCAGCGAGCAAAAGCAAACCGCGTTTTACTTGGCATCGCAGTTTAACAGGGTTAAGTCGCCGCGGTTCCCGGGCTTTTAACTCAAACAACGCCATGATGCATTATATATCAAAAGAGCGAAACGCACTGGCAACTGTTTTAATATGTACCGCTCAGAATCCGGAGGTCTCTGCCAGCCATGGCCGTTGCAGAGGGACATAACGCGAATGGCGTACCGTGCCACCATGCTTTCCCCGTCCATTCTTCTTTAATGCCGTCGAAAACCGCACGGCTACCCTCGAATTTGTTGCGTTCCGTCTACTTGTTGAAGTCTCGTGTTTTCCACGAATTAATCCCGAACGCCTCCACCGCCCAACTCGATCCTAACTTATTTATATTTTATCGATGCATAGACGACCGTAGACGCAGGCATTCGTTTATTAGTTCAGCCAGTTTATAAAATAGAAAACGTCGATTCCTGTGTGCAGGGTTTTTTGAAATTTGAAGTTTGAAATTTGAAATTTAGTTACAGTAGAATCAGATTTGAAAGGCAATTTCCAACGAAATCAAAAATAAGTTAAATGAAAATGTATGAAATGTAATATATTATTGGTAGTTATTGTTTTTGTGAGAGTGGTCCCCCAAAATCACATAATTTTAGACAGTTGAAATTGGAGAGATTTCTTAAGGACCCCTTAAAAATTGATTTTTTAATGCATTTTTATTGTACTTCGAAACGTTGGTAATATGATTCTAAGATATTGTATTAAAACTTTTCAAGTTTGTTGGAAGTGAAACCAAATAAAGAGAAAAGGAATATGGGGTGTAGTTATTATTTTAAATAAATTTTAAAATTCTTTAATCGTGGAGTATTAAATATTCCATGGATGTCACGTCGTCTTAGTTTGTAGAATATATTTTAGTAAACGTCTGACATGATTTTAACCCTTCAGTGATCAGAAACAAAGGGGTTAAAGTAATTATTATTCTCTACTAGTAATGGAATTAGAGAAATTAAATATTCGCAAAATTGTAGTTTCGAGTCGATTTCTAAATATTGCAGAGATAAAAGATTGTCTGTTTTATGTTTACAATACAATTTCTAGCTCCACAGGACATTTGGCCAATGCAAATGCCAACGAAAAATTTGTTTAAGCACGGAATAAATATCTCTAAACGATATACTGAGCCATCCAGTACTATTTTTTAGCATTTAAATAAATTTATAAAAATCGAATGAGATGATATATTCGGGGTTAGAAGTGCAACGCCATTACTTAAAATAAATATTCTTTGTAACGTAAAAAGTAATCGAGTAACAAGCGACTAAAATCGTCACTAATTTTAGTGCATCGCGTCTCGTTTTCTGTTCGAAAAGGAATTTCGTTTTATCGTGAATTTTTTTGTGAATTTAAATTTGTACATTTGCAACTTTGATACGGGTATCAAAAACTCTCTGCGAAACTCTACTATTCTCTCTGATCGATTCTGCAAACCCTCGAAAGACACGGGTTGCCCTGAATCGACATTTGCGCCTGTAATTTCATTTCATCACCCTACATGCGTCTTTGATTTGATTACAGCGTGAGTCAGGGTCAAAAAGATAGACACACGGGAAATACACTTGCAAATCTTTGCAATACTCGAGCAACCGGAGCAACAAACCAACATCAACCATAACAGAATTTTCAAACATTGTGTCGAATACCAAATAATGAAATTAATAGAAATATAAGGAATACGTTTCGCAAGGAAACTTCGTATATTCGATTAACGGCCATTTTGTAGCTATATTTATGAAATGCTTCTATCTTTTATACATATTTAAATTTCCAACGACTATTCACTATTATTAAATGTTTTCTGTTTGTTTTAAATTATTATTATTTTGATTCTGTATAATAATATTATTAGAAACATTCATTATTTTTATTTCACCTTTACAAGGGACAAAAGTGAAAAAGAATGTCAAACGTATATTCTAACTTTTCAAAGTCTACTTTTGTGGTCGACCTTTTGTACCGAAGAGGACAAAATCAATTGGAAAGAATAATTAGCTATAATATAAACGTATCGTTATAGTAAATGTCGATAAGAAATATCAAGAAAGCCAAGAGATGATACTAAATGCTTCCATGCTGGCAATTGTTCGAAAAATGTGGCGCAACTTCGGAACAAACACCACGACAGCACGTTTTATCCAGCAAAATACAGTCGAGAAGCACTCGATCGTCTATACATCGTCGTTCAGTTTCTTTTTCTTTTTTTTTTCTGAATTATGAAGTGCAACACACCCACCTGAATTCTAGCTTCGTTCAATTTGGTGGACCTCGCCAATTCCTCCCTACAGTATATGTCCGGATAATGAGATTTTGCGAATGCCGATTCCAATTCTGCCAGCTGCTCCTGCGAAACAATTAGAAGGCCATAGTAAAGCCGATCTGAACTACCCGGCAGGAAATTTGAGCGCTATACGAAAGCTCCCGGATCGAGGTAATTGAAACGTCGTTATCGAAAAAAAAAAGAAAAAAAAAAAAACAGGGAACCAACGCGTGCCAAAAACCGCGATACGAAACTTGAGAATTCTTTGACAATTCACGTTCTACGAATATACAAAATCGTGTGTTAGGAATTGTAAAAATTTTGTGTCTGGAATGGTGATTTAATTCTTTTACTGGTAATTGCAACTTCGACGATTGCACGTGAAGATTGCACCTCGTTGTTGCGAAGTTGGAAGAAGAACAAAGAGGAATGATCACAGAGGGATACGTTGTTGGAGTGGAGCCTCATCGGGATTGGTTACTTCGATCATTACACGAATCTCGATCCTGTTTCCTCGCGATTATAGTCGGTTCTCGAATTACGTGAAAGGCACATTAACACTCGAAATGTATTTAGTTATTGTTATAGACATGTATTATAAAGTAGTGAAAAAAAGATTATCGTTGAAGAATTAGTAATATACTATTTGGTTAAGATGAAATAATAGCCTTTTTTACAAACTAATGAAAATATCGACCTTTTTTCTACTTTTTTTTCTTTAATTAAATGGTTCAAGGGAGGGGGCTAGTCTTTTTACGTACAATTTCTTTTAGAGTGATTATTGGAAGAAAAAAGGGAAATTTTGTTTAAATGGAAGGTGGTATCATTTTGTTGTTATTTCGATAAAGCTTATCAAATTAAATAACATATTTTTTTTTGTACGTAGTTACAGAGCCAAGGTGACAAATTTAGTCTGTTTAAATGCATATCTAGAAGTGCATATTTATATACATAAAATCGATTTTAAATTATCAATTTAAAAGAAGGTTCGAATGTTATGCAGTTTGACAAAACCTGTCTAAATAACAAAAGAATGACACGACCTTTTGTTAAAGCTGTTTACGTGGAATTTTTGAATATAAATTCCAAAACTCGTTTTTTATTAAATGTAGGAATATTTATATAATAAATATTAGGAATTAGATATAGAGATGAACGTAAAATAAAGAACGATATGAACAATTGTTTTAATTCGTTTCTTGGGGAGGTAACATTTAATTTTTCCTTGATCGTTCGATTACTGGGACATTTACTCTTGGTAAAATGATACATTTCAGAACGAACCTGCGTGAAGGTGGTCCTGTGTCGCCGTCGGGCAGGTGTCGGGCAACTGGCGGTGGTAGGAGTATGACCAATGTGAGGACTCGAAGCACAAGGATCGGGCTTCAACTTTTTAAAAGCCCCTTCCGCACCTGAAATCAAACAGTTGCTTAAAATAATTTTTGCGACGTTTAGCTGCTGTTATATTTATCTTTTTATTTATTTACCGACAAATCTGTTTGATACATTGCAGTAAACAATTCAGAAACTAGAACACATTTTTGAAAATTAACCAATTTGGTTTTTCTTAAAAGTTGGACGATTTTTAGTGTATACTATTTTTAAGAATTTTATTTTAATAATAGATAACCAATAAAACCAACGTATACCAACTGATTTGTGATATTCATTGAGCTCAATAATTAAATTTTCAATTGTGAAGTAATTCACTCCCCGATGGAAATTTTTATTTTTATCTGACGAGTAACCAATAAACAGTTTATATTTTACTCGTTATTTGAAATTATTAAGTTTAGTTTTCAATCATTATTTTTATAATTAAGAGAAACTCGTTCAGTAATAATTATACAGGATGCATAAAACGGGTGGTGATTCTGCACACAAAAACAAACAGAAAAGAAAGAATTACATTTTTAAATTTGAGTCCCCGTTTTTAAGAAAATCGACCACGAAAGTTAGAAGTTCCAAGTAGAAAGAATGAATAATAATCAGACGCTCCAGTTGAGAGAAGCTCCTCCAGTGATAATTATACAAGCTGTACAATAACAGGTGATGATTTTACACACAAAAGTAAGCAGAAAAGAAAGAATTACATTTTTGAATTTGAGTCCCCGTTTTTAAGAAAATCGACCACGAAAGTTAGAAGTTCCAAGTAGAAAGAATGAATAATAATCAGACGCTCCAGTTGAGAGAAGCTCCTCCAGTGATAATTATACAGGCTATACAATAACAGGTGATGATTTTACACACAAAAGTAAGCAGAAAAGAAAGAATAACATTTTTGAATTTAAGTCCCCGTTTTTAAGGATATCGACTCCGAAAGTTAGAAGTTTCAAGTAGAAAGAGTGAATAATAGTCAGACGCGCCAACGTTCAATGATAATTATACAGGCTATACAAGACTGGGTGATGACTTTACACACAAAAGTAAGCAGAAAAGAAAGAATAACATTTTTAAATTTAAGTCCCCATTTGTAAGAAAATCGACTCCGAAAGTTAGAAGTTTCAAGTAGAAAGAGTGAATAATGGTCAGACGCAACAACGTACAATGATAATTATACAGGCTGTACAAGAACGGGTAATGATTTTACACACAAAAGTAAGCAGAAAAGAAAGAATTACATTTTTAAATTTAAGTCCCCGTTTTTAAGAAAATCGACTCCGAAAGTTAGAAGTTTCAAGTAGAAAGAGCAGATAATGGTCGAACGCGTCAGCCCAAGCGTACAGAATTTCACTTGTTCCCCGGCATATATTCAAATTCAATTATCTCGAAAACGAAGTCTCGATCGAACAAACTTTATTATTTACTTCCTATTTGTTTTTTCATGTAGAATCACCCCCCATTCCGATCGCACCACTGCATGCTGCCCCTATAATCCTCATTTTACCACCACCCAACAAGGCTACAATTTAGTTAGAAATTATTCATTTTCCCACATAAAACATACAAGAAACATCCTCAACGTTCAAAATTAACAGAAATTGTCAATTTCATTGTATACAGAATATTTTCTTTGATTCCTAGTTTCACAGTCCACAATATTTATCAACGACGTCGACGTAGAACGAAAAAAGCAGAAACAAAATTTTATTCGGATAATAAATAATCAACGAAGGTTTTAATTTATACCTGTTAAATTATTTTTATTTTTATTCGATGAATTGCGTTGGTTTATTCTTTATTCGTCGTTAGAAGTCTGTTTGGTAAGAATTTCGACCTCGTCTGGTTTCGGTGGATGGAAACGCGATCCCCGGAATGCTTTTCGTCGTCTGGACCGTGGAAAGCTCGACAGGAGATAGTTAACGCGACGCACTATCTCGATAAGTCTGCGTTCGTCTTGGTTGTTTCACGGTATCGGCTTTATGAACGAACGTGCGAACGTACGGTCGGGGTAACCGTGGCGAGTGAAGTCCCTCGCACTATGCTAACTTGGTTAGGGCGTTAATGACCTAATCATGTTACATGCTGATTCAATGTTCAAGGATGAATGCTGACCACTTTACATACCTTGTCCCGTCTCCCGGTGAACAGTGAAACTCGGTCAAGTTCAGCGGGAAGACGGGGAACCTCTTACGATCCGTTTCTTGATAAAACCGACGATCGTCCTGCTAATACATTTCAATCACCGAGACAGTTTCGATCGGAGAAACGTGCAGACGTCTCTGCTCGAATCCTCCTCGATGGAATAAAAATTTATCAACCGCCATCGGTGGTCTGGGTCGAGAAATTTTATTCTCGAATGACGAATAATAGTTTCAGACTCGTAAACGAATTTTCGTTTATAGTTTGTCGAAATGTGGTATTTCTGTTTATATTTCCGGTAAAATTGATTCTTTTGTAAATTTACATATAAATAAATCTATTTTTGTGCACAATTGTGCTTTTAATCGCGTTGTTTCGAGAAACTGGGCACTCAGAGTCCCCAATTAAATCGTAAAGGTACCGCGGTTGAGGTTTCTCGAAAACGTGGGTGGAATTACTACAATTTAATTATTATTGGAGCAACGAAAAAAATATTTATGTCTTGAAATTTTTAAATGCCTACTAAATTTATTTATTCTTTATTTAACGTGTTTTATTAAACACTGTGAAGCATTTTACGTCGAGAGCTGTTGTACGTTTGCTGCGAGGAATAGAAATAAAGCGCGCAAAGGGGCGAGCTACAGCTGAAACATTGTTTCTAGAAAAGTATAACAGAATAAACAGTGGAATTAAGAATGCAAAGAGTATAAAATGGAGAACCTTGGGGCAGTGATTAACGAGGCAGTGCAAACGTGGCTAATAGGTCAGGGGTGGATCCAGAATCCTTTCTTAGGGGATAGAAGTAATATATAAAAGTATATTTTTAAATACCCCTTTCCACGATTTGAAGTTTCTTTATAATTTATATAAAAAATAATTCTTACAAGTCCATGCTTGAAAATATTCACAGAATCTAATGTAAAATCAATAATATTTATTTTGAAGATTTCATAACTCTTGGGGGGGGGGGAGGATCTGCTACTGTAATTGTTCTAACCTAATTGAAAAGCTCCTATGTTACTATTTAGTATCAAAGAGACTGATGGGAGAAATATATTTAATAGAACAGAATTATTTTTAGAAATATTTGTGATCTATTTTTACTAAATATATTCTTCATTTAATTGCTCCCGTAGAAAATTTTAATCGTAATCCGGTTTTCCATTTTACCGAACTAGGAATCGTTTCAGAAAGTTGGAGTAATTGGGAAAAGGTGGAATAATTGTGCTGCTTGCAAGTAACATCTGTCCCGGAATAATGTGTTCCAAATAATTACCAACGATTTCGACTATGCGAAACCGTGACAAACCACATGATCCATAGGATCTCCAATAATGCAGATTCCCATAATTCTTGCAGCTGTCCCCGTTAACATCTGCCATTAAATTCCAGTTAGCATCGGATCCCAACCCTACGCTTTTCACTCCATAGACTGATTTTATTTTTAATTAGGTATCGAACTACTATATATAGGCAATTATAGCAACCTAAGGCATCTCCTCGTAGCTACGATTTTCTATGTACGGTCTTATCTGCTAGATAAATTGATATTTTCTATTTAATATATATTTTTTAACGAGAGAAATCACCATGTTGTAGTATACTAATATTTATCATATTTGCTATATATACTTGATGTGTTCGTGCAGTGAACACTATGAAATGTAATAAAAATATGTATTTATTGTATAACAATAGGAAAATGCCATTTAGTATTCTGAATTTCATCGTCTGCTCATTTTTAAAACAATACATTTTTCAAACATTAACGAAATTTAATTTTTAGTTCGTCCAGTATAATCGATGACTAGTTTTTGTATTAGCTTTTAAAGAAAATTTATTTTCTTTCAAAAAGAAAAATTTAATCATTCGTGACCAGAATAATTGAGAATTAATATTTGTGGAGAAACTTCTTTGCAATATGATACCTGACTTCCATTAAAGAATTGTTTGGATCAATTTAAAAAATATTATATCAATACCACACAAAAGATTATTATATCCATTTTGTAGTAATTCGGTAATACCAAACAATCATCTAAAACCATGACTATAAAATATGGCTCATGCTGGAGTATATCAATCGTTCGTTTATCTCAGCAATTACTGCAATTACACCAAAACAAAACCCCTCTGTGGGCGAATATTTGCCATCGTATATAAATAAATTAGAGTGAAAGCAATATTTATCAGTGAAACGGGCCAGATTTAATATAAAGGCTTGCACGTTATTTTGTTAACATTTATCGTACGCGGTTTAATTACACTGTTTAACAAGATTTTTACGATAGAATGAATCCTTTATCGCTCCCTATAGATGTGTTTATACTGAAAACATAGTAGTTCCAAATTTTCAGAGAAAGTGTACTGGAAATGGGAATTTTCTTGCTTTTGCGATAGATAAAGGTTGCATAATATTATAAACTTTTACTGCATGACAAAAGATACTGTTCATATCTGGATAAATTAAAAATAATCGCGTAAAAGGAGTAGCTGCGTGTCATATTTAAGAAGGAATTGTTTTTCACAATAATAAATAGACCAGCTTGATTAGGGTGTTTTACCCTAACTATATTCACAAGACTTAGTTTCGTCTGATTTTTACTTATTTTGCACGTCGAAAAATCGTTCAAGAACACTGAATAAATAAATACACGCGTATCTGGGCTTCTCAACAAATAAAGCGACGAATTTTATGGTAAATATATATTTAAATTGCTTAAAAAATTACAAAATGTCATGGAACAAGTTCTATATAAAATTGACAGTATTTAATACCCTAATAAAGTGTTAATTATTCTATTATTTTTTAAACAACTTTCAGACTCACACAAGGGTAGAAAATGTGACAAATAATAGAACCGTCGAATAAAGTAAAATCTGACTCGGGAAAGAGTAAGTTGTGGAGAACAAAGACTTATTACGCAGCTTAATAACTTTCGAGGGCTGAAATTGAAGCTTGAAACTTGAAAAAATGAGTTAACTCCGTTAAATGTATTAAAAAAACAGTTTTACGAGGTGTATTCTCAGAGTAGATAATTTACCTTCCAATGTATTTAAATCTTTCTCCCCCAGCGTCATAAAAATTTGTACTATTAGACGCACTTCGAACATTCAACTTTTGACGAAAATTTTATTTCGAAAAATAGTCGAATCTTCCCCTGCACCGCGAGTTTTCCACGGAATTTATAAATAATTTAAGATAACTCGCCCAGAGCAAGGACCACCAATTTCTATTATTAAACACACTTCGAATATTCAACTTTCGAATAAAATTTAATTTCGAGAAATGGTCAAATCCTCCCCTGCACCGCGAGTTTATTACGGAATTTTTCCACACGCAATTTGTAAATAATTTAAGGTAACTCACCCGGAGCAAGGACCACCAATTTTCTATTATTAAACACACTTCGAATATTCAACTTTTGAATAAAATTTAATTTCGAGAAATAGTCAAATCCTCCCCTGCGCCTCGAGTTTTCCATGGAATTTTTCCACACGCAATTTGTAAATAATTTAAGGTAACTCGCCCGGAGCAAGGACCGCCATATTGTGGGGCAAAAGTATGCAAAAAGCGTGCAGATTGCGGTATTATGCAGCTTGTATCGCTCGCGATGCAAGTTTGCGCGACAATGCTCGCTCGAAATAGGAAAAGAAGCGTCGTCTTTCGACTTTCCCGGGCAAGTTTGCCCGAGTAGCGGTGTCGGATCTTCCTTTTTAAAGCCGGAAGCCGTCATTTGTAGCGGCGAGATTTCGCGGGCTCACATTTTAAAAAGGGGCAAGGGAATCGCGCGGAAGACCATCGCTTGAGTACTTTTAATGCCCCGGAGAACGCAAGGGGGTTAACGAAATTAATTTTTCCATCCCCCGTTTCTCTCTTTCTCCGCTCCACGTCTCCACCGTCTCTCTTTTTTTCTCCCTCTCTCTTCTCGTTTCATTTGCATGAATACTACGGCAGTCTCGTCTTGTTTCCGGAAAGTCTGACCTTGGAGAGGGGGAGAAAAAATGAAACGTTAAACGTTCTCTCGATAAATTGGACCCATCGTACGAAATTCATTATCGAATAACAATGGCTACCGCGGGGATGTAACGGAATTTCTACGCGCGACCTGTTGAACTTCGTATTTAGCCAATATTCGTCGGAATTAGTTTCCGTATTTTATTTTTACGCCGACGAAACTATTTTAAGAACGTCTGGGACGGTAAATGGAAATGGAATTTTATTTGTTATTTGTTCGAAGTGCATTTGTAGTTCGTTAAGCGTATCTGGACTCTCTATACTTTAATATTATTTGAGTTAATATATAATAATAAATATAGTTTTGAGAGAAGTCTCGTAGAAAAGTAGGTTGTAGATTCTGGAATGTTTAAATATTAAAAATGTTCACGAAAATTTGCAACAGAAATGCTAGATTAAAATTTGCATAATAATAAGTTAAAAAGGAAACCACGAGTTCCAAAACCGCGTCCATTTTTTGAAATTGTACGAATTATTTGTACAAATTTTCAGCACACTCGAGCCTATTTAGTAACGTTTAAAATAGCAACAATATTTTTTATCGAATTAGTCCGAAAGTACAGTCGAGAATTAGTAATGTAACATCTGTGAGAGAAAGGAAAGTATGGCGGCGTGGATGTTCACGTGAAGCGAGTTGCGTTGAAAAGTTTTCATAAAGAGTTCCATAAAACATTGTATTGACATCATCCCTTCCCATTAAATTAAAGTAAGAGACTGTATTTATTAATTTTCCTGTTTCAAGACAAAATAAAATCTAAAATAAAAAGATCTCCACTAAATATTAAATGAGAAGTAATTAGAATTAATATCGAGTTTATATCGAGTTTATAAAAATTTCTGTTTGTCGTTTCCACATTTTTTTTTTTAGTGCTGTTGGTTTCCACAACTTCTGTTTTAATTTTATATAGAAATTTAGAAACGTAATGGCGTATATGGTTAATCGAAGCACTGTAGATAGAAGTCACTAAATTTATAGATATGGCGATAACAATAGGTGAGACTGTTCACTGTTTCGATTTACCAAAACACGCTTCGGTGACAGTACTTGACGCAGACGCGCGTCTGACGATAATAGGCGAACCCCCATCAGGACACCCTTAGCACTAAGCTCTCTTAAACCCCATGAACACATAATAATAGCCTATAGAACAGGTACTACCATATGGTCCAGTCCCCGCACCCTATTGTCGACACCTTGGCCGATCCTCTGTCAATGTACATGTGTACTCGAGGATTAACAAGCGTAAAATTCATCTATATCGAGATGACACGTTGCCCATTTTTCTCCCAAAGTCATCCTAAAAGTATTCTCTTTTACGACCAATTAGAATATTGAAAAATATCTCACAATTTCGAATACGAATTTTGAATTTAACTGTTTCGTCAAGAATAGAAATAATCGTAGGGGTTAAAAAATAATTCGTCTGCTATTATGTATCTATATCTGTTTGCCTGCTAATAAACAATAATTTTGTAATAGTAAACCGATTAAAAATCAATACTGTCTTCATTATTTCATGAACTCACAATTGAGAAACATAAAAATTAGTAATGATTGCAATTATAAAATTTTAAAAATGAATGATAACAAAATAATCTGAAGAATCAATTATGTTCTTTTGTACTCTTCCAAATGTTGTTACGAGTACTTTCTTTAGAAATCTTGTTTCGCATGTTTGAAGTTCCTGGTAATTATATTTGTCTATCGAATTTTCATAATAAGTTCAGTTTAACAAAAAGTGTTACCAAGAAATAGAAATTTCACGATCTTTCCCAGATATTTTATAACACTATTTTTATTTAGATTCGTTAATACCATTTCGTATTTGTTTCTCTCTAATTTCTGTTCTTTTTTCTAAATAATATTCAAGGTGATTTTCTAAATAATATTCAATCCTAACCCAGACCTAACCCAGACCAAAAATAATTTTTCCAGAATGATTTGAAATTTTTTAATTTCGTGGACAAAGTGCAACTACTCGAATTTTTTTCTCGAAAGTGCGTAGGAATTCGGGGGTATGTCTATTCACCAAAAATGATTATAATTAACCTCCCAAACCAAATATAATTTTTTTAGAACGATTTGAAATTTTTTTTCACCGAAAATTTTCCCTGTCGATTTTTCTTAAAACTTTGATTTTCATTTTTAATAAATTTGTTTAGTAATTGTTTGTAGTATCCATGAGCTCGAAACATCGATTCCAAACATCTTGAATAAAAGGAGTAATTGCAACAGTGTTTATTACTAATTAATATTGTTTTCAGATCGGACAGATTGCATTCAGTAATAAATTTATGGTTTCGAGATTGTGAAACTTATTATATTATCTCTTTACTTGAAATTTGCCTTTTTATCCAGTTATTAAAAATAGAAATAGTTGAAAAGCAGATCTAACTTATTGCTGATATACTAATATTTATACCGAGAGAATTTTGTTGGTCTCGTGGTGGTTGCTATAATTAATTAGGACTGTATTTAACCCTTAACCACAGTTGTGCGGTCTCTGGGGACGGCGTTAAGTACGAAAAAAGACTTTTTACAAGGAAAATCTTGTTTTGAAGCAAGGTTGAGTAACAACATAAAACAAAATATAATAAAATCTTCTTATGATTCTATTATTTGGGTACAGTGGATCTTTGTTGAATATTCTCCCCCCTTCTCTATTGAAACTTTCTTGTGTACTAATACATACTTGGATACATATAGTATGCATCAATATGAGCAATGTTGGTAAACATCGATCTAAAATTCGATAGATTCAGAGTTCTTATAAAAAATCACATTTCTTTATCAGTAGGTGATGGAAACGTCTTTTTTCTCTTTTATTTCGTAACAAAAGAAATTTGAAAAATAATTGCAACCAAGAAGAACAGAAGAGGTCGTAAAATACCATTGTTTACTAACAGTATTTTACTCATTTTTATAAATATAACATGAGCTCTTCAACGCAGAATACGATGAAATAAAAATTGTTTTTTATAGCTCGAAAACTCAATTTTTAACACTTTTTTGCAAATTTAGGTCTATAAATTCCAGCACAATTAATTTGGAACAAATATAGATATTTTATCGTATCACAGAGAGGTGTGTGAGATCGTGAGAATTTGAAAATTAAAGAAAAGTCCTAAAAAAAAATGTTTAAATGCATCTCCATGCGTAGAAACATGCTTTCTCTAATTCTAATTAGAATCACTAAATTTTCAGTCCTCCGAGTCTACGAACGTGTCCAGTTACGTTAGTGGTCAGTAGACTACTGATATTTATGCATTTACGGGAAATTTATATTTTCAAAAGACTATAGACTGCACTTGATATGCAAAAATACAAGAAATACGAATTATTACATTTAGGGGTCGAGACAGTCCTCTGCAAGACTCCCATTTCATTAATTCTATTAACACTGGAACTACCGACAATTATGGTGCACTTATTTGTACCAAAGAATGCAATGCTTCATCCTTTTATAGAAAGTTACGATAAATTTTCAAAAATCGAGTCGAGTAAATTTTTGGTAGTTCTAGTGTTAACTTGGTGATCAGAGTATTGGACCAGCTAGGTCGAATGAGATATCAAATGTTTCCAGATATCCTCCTCCACCAAAGAACGTTCCGTTTCCAGGGCCAAGGCGAAAAACCACCAATTTCTACCATTATCCTCTCCCAACAGAGAAACGAAAGAAGATGCTTACCAACGCTGGAAGTGGCACCGACGCTGCTCCTTCCGGGCGTCGCGGCGGGTGTTGGCGGGCTGGCCTCCAGGCCCTGGTGTACCCCATAGAGGCCGAAATCTTGCTCGTTCGAGCTGGTACTGCTGCACTTCCTCTTCTCTTGGTTGTGATTCAAATGGAAACTGTCGTTCTCGACGAGACCGACGCCGAGCAAACCGAGATTCGGCCTGAGCTCGTCCATCAGCTTGTTCTGGCCACAATTAGCAGCGGCGGCCGCCGAGAAATTCAGCTGTCTGCTGAAAATCGCCGGGAATATGTTGAACTGTTGATGGTCGAGGCTGAGGGCGGCCGTCGGCAACGACGAGCCGCCGCCACCGCCGCCGCCGACAGAGGTGCTGCCGACGGAACCGACGCCTGCACCGGGACCCCCGGTACCTCCGGACAAGTCGTTAGCCAGGATGATGCCGGGGTGACCTTGTCGAGGTCTCGCGTTCGTAATGCTGTCGACGTTCCTCGACGACCTACCAGGACATCCTTCGTCGCTCCCCAATCTGGAGTAACCGAGATCGGTCTTCGTCCAACACCCGATCAGCGTGAACCTTCAACGATCGATTACGTCTGATTAATTATTTCGATCGAATTTCAAATGATCGCATCGCAAATCGACTGGCAATTCAACGTCTCTCTCTTGGGCTCAAGAAGAAGGTGATTCTGTCTAAACTTCCGTGGAAGTTTACTCAATTCTGGTAAATAAGATCGAGTGGTAGGCGTATTACCTATTCCAAGGTATCAGAATTCGTCCTATTTGCTTGGCATTACGGCTGCTCGATCTCTTCTACGAACAGCGAACTAGAACTCCTTTCAGTCTACACATGTTCCTAGGATTCACTTCGTCTTCAACACAATATTGACGACACTGTTTTGAGAACTAATCTTGCTGCCTGGCAGTTCGAGACGTTGTTAATCGAGTCCTCCTCCGAATGTTATAGATCACTGGGTCCTTCTTGCGTCTCTCAAACGTCGGCAAGGTTATGGCGGCAGTGTCCCTTCACTGTCCCTGGGCACTTCTGGATCTCGATCCTCGCAGGGTGGGCTTCCGACGATCGCGATATATTCTTCGACGTTCGATCGGCGGATCGACGAAAGCGGGGGGATGGAGAACGGTTCCGTTTCTTTTCTCCTTCGCCTTTTTGCTCCGCGAAATACACGGCGGACGTCGAATGCGCGACGGTTACGAAAGGGAAACAACGGGGAACGGACCGGGAAGGGCCGAGGAAGCGCGGCCAGTTAATCACGGGCGGACGTTATCGCTACCGTGACCTCGATTCGAAATTTAAATCTTATTATCTCGTCAATGCAATTAGATGGGTCGGAACCAGAGGGTGGCACAGGAGTGGGAGAGAGAGGGGGGCGCGGTAAGTAGCACGAGGAACGAGGGGCACCGCTCTTGAAAATTCAAATATCGAAATAATTGTCGTGAAATGGCGCGTGCCCGGCCTGGCGACCGGTTACGAGGAAAATGTGCGCGTCGCGAAGACAACGACAACGAATAGTGGAAGCGTCCACCCAATGACTCCGCGCCCTTCCTTCTCGTGCCGTAGGATAACGCGTTACGCAGAGGAAAAAGCCGAAACGATACGAGAATCGGCCGTGTTAGAGGGGCGACCGCTCGCCGTGAGTTCTTGTGGGATTCTGTCCACGAAATGCAGTTATCCCGGTGACTTCGCGGGGGGAAGGGGGGGTTGAGTAGGAGTAGAGAAACGAGGAGAGGGAGGGGGGTGTACGGGGGAAACGTGGAGGAAGGACGAGAACGAGGGGCGGGAGGGGACCGGGGGTGGGCAACAGAGAGCATTTAGAGGGGTTGCTACCGGTGGTAGGGGGTCGTTGGCTGTAACCAGCGCTCCCTTTCGCCCCCTAGTCAGCCTCGGCGTCGAAAGCACGAGGTGCTCGTTCCCCCGTGCCGATTGGACGACGGTGGGATACGTTGCCCGGACGACCGCCAATGCCGTTCGCCGTTCGCTCGCTTCACCCCTACTCACGCGGCAAGATGGCGGACTTACCAATAAAAATTCTTCTGGAAAATAACCTGCGAGCGATTTTCTTTCCACCCTGCTATCTAGCTTTTCCAACATCTCACACGAGCGAATCGCGCCGCGTACGTGTCACCACCATCATCGCACGGGAAGGACGTCCCTTCTACCATCGTCGCGTTTATGCTTCTACGGTCCTATCCCTCCGCTTCGACCTCGTCTTCGTCGTCTTCCTCTCGTCACACTCTTCCCAACCCTTAACATTATACGCTCGGTCTCTCTTTTTTCTTCCACCGTGCCCGGCGCCGTCTTCCTTTTTATTATCCCGCGGCAGATAGCTTTTTTAATTCTTTTCCTACCACCCTACGCCACCCCCCACCGCCCACCTGCACCGTCGCCCGAACCCCCCACGCAACCCCCCTCCCCCCAGTACCCCCTAACCCAGGACTGCCCGCCGTTTTCGGTATTTGATTGTAACGTACACCCCGCGCGTCTGATCCGGCTACTTTTGTAAGCGAGCAACCCTTTGTTACACGGCGCATCGTTTATCCGCGCGAGACCGCATTCGGTTCGCGCTTAGTAATGAAAAAGATAGGTTTTCCAACGAATTTTCAGCCCCGACCGTCTTTGTATCACCGGACTCAGCCTTTCGCTAGTAATTCGGTAAGCGAGCCCCACCCCTTCCGCCCGCGCCTCCACGCGTATCGTGCGTGAACAGTTATTTCCTTCTTTCCTTCCAGCCTCCTCTTTTATTTTGTTTAGGCTCTTTCGCGTTACTCATTCCATCATCGTGGCCAGGCTTTTAACAGTGCTTTTCATTATTTCGTTGCAACGAACGTGTTTCTGCGTCTCTTTAGTTCCGGGCTCTCATTGATACCAAAGTACGGGAGGGCGAGGGAAATTACATTCCGCGCCGCAAAGAGGTGCCCCTGGATGTTGATTGTATTTTTTTTTTCTTTTTTTAATTTATCGCTGCACGCAATTTTTTGTCTTATCGTTTATTTTTTCACAGCTTCTTTGTAGATTCGTTGCTGTTTTCGATTCTACGAGCGATTCCTTTACGACAACGACAATCTGCAATCCTTTTCTAAAATCTATTGTAGGTACTTTCGTGTTCTTTTTCACGAACAAGGCAAGATTAAAAATTTTAACTTGTGTTTACTTTCAAGTTCCACCAGTTTACCTGGATAACACGATATTAAAAATAGCACAATTTACATTAATAATTCCACAATCAATGCAAATGTGTCGAAACCTTTTAACATACGTTCGAAGTATTTTAACAAAATCGAAATTCAGATTGTGAATCATTCAACTTTTACTCTTTTAGATTGTGTTGGTCGAAACAAGAACGTGGAAATTTTGGTGGCGCCCCCGGGGAAAAATGAGTATTTCTTAATTATCGTATCATTTTCGAAATAACTTCCAATCCTATAAATTCCAACGGAGGAAAATATAATAAATAATAGTAGCGACGAATGAAATAAAATCTGACTCGGGAGAGGATTGGTCGTGGAGAACAAAGCCTTGATGAGGGTAACTAGTTTAATCTACCTCTACCTGTACGTTCCAGGCCATGTTTTTCGACCCTCCTCGGGAAAATCTTAAACGAATGTAAAAAACTAGTTCGTACAAACCGCGAGGAAACATAAAATGTACGAATACGATAAACGCTAATATAGAAATTTTAAAAAAACAAGGGAAGAGATTGAAAATATAATTAAAATTAGATAAAAATTTTGATAATTTTAAAAACTATATAAGATACAAATTAAAATGATGGACGACCAATTATAAAGTGATTTTATAATTAATTATTGCCTCTGACTCTGGAGTCTGCAGTGTATGATTGACAGATCGCATGAATAAAAGATCGTATGCGCGTTAGGTAGAAATTTGTAGCACAACGCTGAAAATAAATCGAAAATGCGAAATAAAATTTCTCCGCGCAGTGCCCCGTTTTCAGGAAAATCGATTTCCAAATTTCGTGCGCCACGTGTTCGGTCGAGTATGACTTCGCTGTGTCTATTACTCGTCCCGACTTTAACGGTGTTCGTAAAAATTGATCGCCGGCGTGATGCTATCCGTTTTCCGTCCATTTTGCTCTATGAATAGTTAAAATCAATTAAAACAGATTTTTATATAATAGCGTACCCGTCGTCGATGCTTACAAACGCCCACGCGGACAGAAGTAATGCGTAACAGGCCCGATCGCGCATAAAACAAATTTTCATAAATTCGAAAACAGAGCTCGACATAAAAAAACTTTATATTTCGAGCTGTTGAATATCACTTACGAATCTGAAAACGGTCAAATTCAATGGAAAAATATTATTCACCTTCGATTTTAAAAAATCTGTGATTTTGAAATTTGTATTCATTGTTCAACTCTGCTGTATCATAATATAGCATACTATATTTAAAAATTGTAAAAATATCGATAGTTATTATAAACACAAAGCTACTCGACATAGGACAAATATAAAAATATAATTAAAATTAGAACGAAATAATTTATAAATTCGATGCTACGAAATGAAAACATTTATTTGCTTATAAAAATTAATTAGTAACCAAATTCAGTTTAAAAAGAATATAATATGTTTTCTCATTTTGATTATAGCAGTTATCGGTTTTGAGGGATGTTTTTTCCGATTCCTATGTGTTTTTATTCAAATGTAACTCAAAGTTGGAAATTGTAATAGTTTAGTAGCCACTAGTAGAGAATTTTTCCGTTATTCGCCCCTTGCAAGTATACTATTCGGGCTATCGGAATGTTGGTATAGTGATTTTCGGTAATTTCGACCCCCACCATGATTCGAAATGATTCACGTGCTCAGGCTAGCCCGAGTCGAAGGTGGTTCCACGTTCTCCGACAAACTTCCACAAAACCCTTCGATTCGTCTACTTACTTGACGCCCTCTTCGTTCGACCCTCCTTCAGAACGTGGCGAGAGAGTTCCTTCGCCCGAGGGTGAGATCGAACAACCGTGCAGCCGAAGAGTATGAGAAAGAACGGCTATGAAGGAGAAACGCACAGTTTCGAGAGCTTCAGCGTCTTCCAAGTTTGTCCAAGTTTGGTAAGAAAAAAAAGAAGAAAGAAAAAGAAGTTCGGTCATCGTTTCCGCAGTGATAGCAAAAGTCAGTTCGTTAGTTATATTTTCCATATCTGGGTCACGCGATAAAACCATTGCTCGACCGTATGTACACCGAAATTAATTAATTAA